CCCCCCAAAAAAAAACCCTTACTGCTCAAATGAAAATCCTCTTATTTTACGTGAAAGTTCCTCCAGTTTATAGAGCATGCTTGAAATAAAGTTCGGGGAAAAGTCTGTGAAAAGGAGAGGGAATCTGGCTGGAATGGAGTCTGTGAAATGACTCCATTTCACAGACTTCATGCTGGAATGGACTCCATTTTACGGAAAATGCTGTACTCAGCAAGAAGCTACACAGAGAACAGCGGAGGGGATGGAGAGGGGATGGAAACTGTACATTTTCCGTGGTAAGATCCTACTGAACAATGCTAATTGGCAGTCGCGTAAGCCATAAGGGCAACCAGTGCCACCAGATTTTATGAAATACCGTCAGCTGCGTAAAGAATAGGATGCTGGACCCAGTTTTCAACACGTGGACTCTCCCTGTAAAGAGAAGCGGTTAACAGGGCCCTAAATTTGTTTTGGGGTTACGCCTTGTTATGATCCCCAAAATTAAATTAAATGCACTTTTCAGTGCTTGGGGGGTTAACCCGGGGGCTGAAAAGTCGGGGTTCCTGTTCCTGTTAACCACTTGTGCTGTATAGCGAGATGTATATGTCCGATAGCCGGATATGTGCAGTACGATGTCGAGGGAACTATGTGTTCGTTGAAGAGATGACAGGCCAAGCTGGACAAGAGCCCCCCCAAATTCCAGAGCCAGACTCAATCCCGTGATCTATGACATGTAACTAGACGACTCTACCATATTATGAGCAACAAGTGCAGACGGCGCCTATGTGTGATAGTATGCCAGACTTGGGAGATCGACAGAACAATGACGATCAACAGCAACAGGCAACCCGCGCAGCATCGAGGACGGACATATGACACCGTGGACAACACTTGGGTGGTGCACAGGCAGTGCCTGTAATATCTTACCTGCATGCAAGTGACCGCGGGTTACGTAAACGCCCTCATGTATGTGCCCGAGGGCCAGATATGTGCAGTACTATGTAGAGGGAACTATGTGTTCGTTTTGAAGAGATGACAGGCCAAGCTGGATAAGAACCCGTCCCAAAGTCTCAAGCCAGACTCGAACCCGTGATCTATGACATGTGACCTGAAGACTACCATTTGAGCCACAATCACAAATGGCCCGAGTGTGATATGCCAGGCTGGGGAGATCAACAGAACAACCACGAGCAAACAGCGACAAGGAACCCACACAGTATCCAGACCCGACATCCGACAGCATGGGCAACCCTTGGGTGGTGTGCAGGCAGTGTCTGTAATAGCTTACCATGTGCGACAGCATGGGCAACCCTTGGGTGGTGTGCAGGCAGTGTCTGTAATAGCTTACCATGCGTCAGCCCAAGCAGTGTCTGTAATAGCTTACCATGCGTCAGCCCAAGCAAGGGGGTGTGTGACACTGTGTGTCCAGCCGTGAGGCATTCTAACTCCCTGCCGGTGTCCATGGGCAAGGCTGCGGAGATTTGAACCCACAATCTCGTATCACAATGCACGTTTCCAATCGGTGGTCTTAAGCACTGAGCTAAAAAGCACTCTGGAGAAGCTTAAGCTTGTCATTGGAGATCATACAGAGCAACCTCCAATAGTAGGCTCTCTATTGTAGATGGCTCCAGTCTATTGATGGGGAGCAGCACCTGCTGGGAATCGGGTTGAGCGTCCCAGTTACAAATCATGGCCAAGTTTGCAATCATGGTAGATGATATCTGATGACACTGGCCCCCGCTATTCCTGGAGTGTTCCATGTAATACTATGTGGATATTTTTTTTCAGTTGGGCTGCTGCCATTTTGCCTGACCGCGTGCCCAGGTCGGATAGCGCCAAACCACGGATGTTGGGCCGCGAGTCAGCGTCGCCGCCAGCCACTTTTGTCCAGTAGCCCAGAACTCCGAAAGTCCGGCCACGGGGCTGGCGCCGGGACTTTTGGGGGTTGGCGCTGCTTGGCAACACTCGCATGTTATGGCGCTTGTATGGCCACGCGAAAAAAGTTGGTGGGGAGAAAAACAGAAGAGGAATCCCATGGCCTCCTGTGCGCTTGGTGCCAACAAGCTGAGATAGTCAGCTGGATCCCCCTGCTTGGTCTCAGCAGGGTCTTCAGCCGACATGGGTGCGAGTGTGAGTGGGCGGTGTGTGGTGGGTGGGCGAGAGTTGGCCTTAGACACTGCTGTTATTTGGTTGGGGTTGGGGGGAAATGAAAAGGCAAGTGCAGCTACTGGCAAATGCTCGGTCCTTGCGTTANAAATGCTCGGTCCTTGCGTTAGCCGGGCCCCCACCGGGCGATGGGTGGGAGAGAGTTGGCCTTAGACACTGCTGTTATTTGGTTGGGGTTGGGGGAAAATGAAAAGGCAGGTGCAGCTACTGGCAAATGCTCGGTCCTTGTGTTAGCCGGGCCCCCACCGGGTGACCCCAACCCTGCACCCGAAACCACCAGGGCAACGGGCAAACACGCAACACTTTTCACACCACGAGAGGTAACCTCCATTTGACAATCGAGGTATTTAGGTATGCTTGCAGGGGTCCCTTGTATAGCCTTAGGAGTAGTCGTAGGGGTCCCTTATATAGCCTTAGTAGTCGTAGGGGTCCCTTATATAGCCTTAGTAGTCGTAGGGGTCCCTTGTAGGGTCCCTTATATAGCCTAGGAGTAGTCGTAGGGGTCCCTTGTATAGGCTTAGGAGTAGTCGTAGGGAAGTTACCGTAGTAAAAGACGAAAGAATCTGAGAAAATAATACAGTGTAGGAACTTGTAAGAAGAAAAGAAAAAGAAAAAATTTAAAGGAATGGAAATCCAAAACAAAGCTGGTGCTATTTCACCATGGCCTTGCTTCACTTTGATCTTTTTTATTTTTTTTTAAGCCCAGGGTGTTGTAGAAGCTAAGGACCAGACCCGCAGTGATTGCTGACAGCGACAGCCAATGATTGTCCTGACAGGATAGGCCACCTAGGCTTTTTCGTTTTTCTTTTTTTTTTCTTTTTTTTTCTTTTTTTAAACGTCCCCTCCGGTGCTAGTGGGGCTGGTAAGAGCAGACACTCCTAACACCTGGGGAAAGGCTCCATGTATTGGTGTGGGGGGCATCACCTGCTGGAAAACGGGTCCAGGGGGGAAAATGTAAGAGTCACCTGCCAGTATTGATTACTCTGGAATCCAGAGGATTGACTGAGCAGGATATTGGAAAGAAGAGAACCTCTTCGCCTTGTGCCAGGCGCCGGATACCTGCTACTACAAACTAGTTCATCCTTCCCCACACCTATCCCTACCCACTCTACCCACTCTACCCCAGTCTGCACCCGTCATTTTTACCACCCCGTCCCAACTGTCAATCCCTTATGGTAACTGTTGGTCGTGCGTTCTGAGACTGTCTGCTGGAGATTGGGTCCAGCGTTCCGTGGCAATCATCCCAAAGTCTGAAATGTACTATGTCAACCTGCCAGCTTTCAGTTGCCCTTGTCGCCAGCAGCTTGACTGAGGTCCCTTTTTTTTTTTTTTTTTTTTTTTTCCTTTATGGGTCCAGCGTCCCCAATGGAACATCGCAATGAGTGCATGATCAAAAGGATAGGAAAGCCTCTTCAGTCCCAGAG